AAGAAGAAGAAGAAGAAGAAGAAGAAAAGAAGAAGAAGAAGAAGAAGAAGAAGAAGAAGAAGAAGAAGAAGAAGAAGAAGAAGAAGAAGAAGAAACAGAAGCAGAAGCAGAAGAAGAAGAAAAAGAAGAAGAAAAAGAAGAAGAAGAAGAAGAAGAAGAAGAAGAAGAAGAAGAAGAAGAAGAAGAAGAAGAAGAAGAAGAAGAAGAAGAAGAAGAAGAAGAAGAAGAAGAAAATGAAGAATGAGACAGGTGTTTTGTGTTTACTAAAAGGGATGCTTGGAACAGGTCGGGTGAATTAAATATTGGATGAACTAAGTGTGCCTGTTTACCAGTCTGTCTGTCTGTTTGACTAGGTAGATAAGCCGGTCATCACCAATATCATCTTTTGTGTGCCCTTAGACGTCACACAGGGCTCGCATTCGATTCCTCCAATCCGTTCTATTGCATGCAACTCTCAATTTCTGACATGGAGTTTAGTCCAACGTTTTTAGTTCCTCGTAATAATGTTTTCCTTAATGTTTCCCTTGGACGATTTCTTTTTTTCTCAGACCGTTAGATTCCAGTTTCAGTGTTCGTTTCGTAATGCTTTGCTCAGTTCGTCTCAGAGTGTGCCCAGTGTATCTCCACCTGCTGTGTCTTATTGCAGTCGATACAGATATTTCCCCAGATAATTCCATGATCCAGCTCTTTTTGAATTCATCGCATTTTATGTTCATGATTTTTCTAAGACATTTGTTTTGAAATTACAATTAACTTTCATTCCATATCTTTAGTAATTCTCCAACTTCCGCTATTAGAATTTAAATAACGTCAGAATTTAAGATTCGTAGTTTGATCTTAAAGCTAAACAGCTTGGAGTAAAGCAAGATGAATTATTTGATTTGATTCAAGAACCAAAATCACAGCACCCCGGGCATTCTCATAAGCGCTCCGTCCCCATCTTCAGCAGCCAGCGAAGAGTTCCGATACTAATGGTGCCAGTAGCTTTCTGATTAAACGTCCGTCTTGCCTTTCCTCTGAGCCTTAAGCTTCTGCCAGAACCTCTCGTCACCCCCAACTGCATCAATCTCACCAAACTGTGGTGATCCATTTGCTCCTCCGCATTGTGCACGCTCTCCCACACTAACCATGTCTGTGCCCTATCATGTAGCAGTATTTCCCCAAGTTGTGCAGAGCCAGCCAGTTTGTCCGCCTGTTCATTTCCCAACACACCGGCGTGACCCGGTGAAAAAAATCCAGACAATACTCCTCACTCGTGTCCTCCGCAGCGAAGGATGCCACTCTGCACGAAGCATACTTGTTCTGATCTTCCTCAGCATGCTTTCTGAATCAGTTACAATTACAATGTGTGTGTGTGTGTGTGTGTCGTGTTCTCTAGCCAGCGGAAAGCTGCAGTGACCGCCTCCACCTCCATTCTTAAGCTGGATGCTGCGGTATCATATGCTTGGCTCTCCTGCACCAAACGTCGACCATTAACTTTTGCTAAAAAGCCCCAAGCATTTCTTTTGCCTCTTGACACTGAACCGTCAGTGTAAATGATCAAATCCTCTGAGCGAGCATTATCTTGAATTAATTGCTGAATTTCCATCTTTATGGTACCTGCTGGCCAGTCTCTGCATTCCCGGTTCAGCGTGATTATGACTCTACACAAGTCTGACTGCTCAGGTGGCACTTTGACCCACTCCTCTCCTCGCCAATGTTCTCAAGGATGCAAACCTGTCTGATTGTGTCTTCTGCCTGAGCCATCCATCACCTCCTTCTTATCAGCCGCTGACCCTTAACTGCACCCAGAGCTTCGTGCAGAGGGTGGTCTGAGTCTGCAGCTACCCTGAGATATGACTTCGCCTGCATCACCTTGTGCCTACCTGCAACCGTCGGCAAACCAAGAATGTATCGCATAACACCACTGGGGTGTCTCTGGTGCAACCCAGAATGACCCGCATAGCCGCGTTCTGTATGCGCTCTAGTTTGTCCATCTGACACGTTGAGACGGTAAGCAGTCCCAGACTATAATCTACCACTGACAGGATCAGATGCCGATATTTTGTGAAAAGCATTCTCTGCTCTATGTCAATTGCAGCCATAGTCTTAAGTGCCCTAAGTCCTTTTTGGTATCTCGTCACAACACTCTCCACATGGTCCTTAAATGATAGGCTCCTGTCAAATGTAATTCCCAGATACCTCAGTTTGCTCTCTCTCTCTGTTGACGTCTCTACCTTCTATCGTGAGACCTGGGACATTAGTTTTAACGATTCTGTTGTCCAGAGAACACCACAAAACAGACACCTTTTCCGGGTGGACGACAGCCTTAATTTCTGTACACCACTTAGCCACTTTGTCTACTGTCGCTTGTAGCTCCCGGGCTGTTTGTTCCCTCTCTTCCCCCTGCCTATTGCAAGTATATCATCCGCAAAAGTCAGTATCCTTCCAACTCCTGGTGCTTCTAGGCTTGCAATCTTGCTCGTATACACGTTGAAGAGCAAAGGCGACATGGCGGATCCCTGTGGCAGTCCTGGGGCCAAAGTGCATGGTTCAGAGGTCCATGAGCCCAGTCGGAGAGCAACCCGACGTGAATATAGGACAGCTGCAACCCAATTCACCAGCCATGGATTGACCTCCTTCTCCCTCAGTGCAGTCATTAAGATGTCGTATCTCACTCTGTTATAAGCATCCTCGAGATCCAGTCCTACCGCCATAGTTTCCTTTCTGTTCTGGAACACTTCATAGACGTCAAAAGCAAGCAAGATGAAATAAGCATGTACATGTGTATAAATCAAAAAGGGCTTTACAGAAGTGCTAAAATAATCAAGTATTCACGTGGAAAGATAATTCAGGGGTCGCCAGACCCAGAAAGTTTGGGAATCCTAAGCACAGATGGATACACGATAAGTAAGCACATTCCCAGGTAGTCAAGCCAGAAATTAGCGGCCACAGTAAGTAGGCTTATAGAAAAGCCGGCGGTCGACGCTAACGTACCACGTTGTTACCGCCTTGAGCCGGTAAATAGTTACAGTGTCAACTGAAACACAAAACTCTGAATACTGAAAGCATTGGGGTATTGTTATCGATCTATAAGTATTGAACCTTTAATGTATTGATAGAAACTAGCTAAAGGTCAAAGTTTATTCGTAAACATTGCTTTTGCAATTCAATAAAAGTGTTATTTAATAACTTGTATACAATGGGCTTCAGGCACATTGAGTGACACCCCCCCCCCCCCCAACTATGTTTAGGCAACCACACCAATAATGTTTACCCCACCCCCTCCTCCCAACCCCTAGACAACTTCAAGGGATAGTAGGGGTGGGTCGGAAGAGAGAGAGAGAGAGAGAGAGAGAGAGAGAGAGGAGAGGGGAGAGAGAGAGAGAGAGAGAGAGAGAGAGAGAGAGAGAGAGAGAGAGAGAGAGAGAGAGAGAGAGAGAGAGAGAGAGAAATAGAGGTAATGGGGTGGGACGAAAAGAAAATTTCTTTAAAAAAACATGATTTCTCTGAAAGCTCTGGAGGGCAGTGAACGCTGCAGAACTGACATAGCCAAGATAATCCTGGATGCTGATCAGCTTATTACCTCATACAACATCAGAATAGTGATGCAGTGGATTCCAGGTCACTCCGGCACACCAGGTAATGACAGAGCTGACAGATTGGCAAAGAAAGGAGCAACACAAGAACAACCACCTACAGCGACAACCCTTCAGACAGCAAAAACACTGACAAGAGCTATAAACAAAAAGACTTGGTTGAACAGATGGGCCATGGGAGACACTGGAAGAGACATATGCCTGGCCCTGATCCTAATGACAGCATTAACCATCTAACAAGAAGGGACCAGGCCACCATCTTCAGACTTAGAACGCAACATACTCCACTCAATGGACACCTAAACAGAATACAGCCACAACACTCCCCAGAGTGCCATCTATGTAACTACCCCTACGAAACTGTTGAACACCATCTCTTTGAGTGCCCAAAACTCAGTGCGACAAGAAGAACGCTACTCCCTCCGAGACCAGACAAGTGGAACACCTTGTACGGAGGAAAAGAACAGCTTGTGAAAACATGCAAATTCCACTACATGGCATTGGGCCAAAGGGCGAATGCTCATGCGCCGCTGGATCGATAACAACAACAACAACAACTCTGAAAGCATGCTCAGTCGGTCTTAATGTTACACTGAAGACACATAAACCCCCCCCCCCCCCACCCTCAATTTTTCACCCATCACAAATAATTTTTCAAGGAAGCAAAAAAGGTCCCTGTTAACCAAATATAGTTATTCTCTTTAAAAATATGTCTTCATGCATTTCACACCGTTTCAGTACATCATTATATACATATATGTCTCACTTGACACATTATTAACTGTAATATGATTCTATTAGTAACAGTGTGTTGAATGGCACATTAATGTAATAATATTAGTATAAAGTTCGTTGCATATCCTTTTCAGGACGCTGCCGAACCAACTCCAGCAGTTTTATTTATGTCTCTAATTTCTCAGAGTTAAAACATTCATACTCAACACAACAGACAGGTAGGCAGCAAATGAATATACATGCAGAAAAAAAACATGGGAAAAACAAACAGAGAAAAGATATCAGACCAAAAGAATGAAAAATATATGAAAAGTTACACAGACTGACAGACATATTTAAAGTAGGATGTAGACAGACAGACAGACAGACAGACAGACAGACAGACAGACAGACAGACAGACAGACAGACAGACAGACAGACAGACAGACAGACAGACAGACAGACAGACAGACAGACAGACAGACAGACAGACAGACAGACAGACAGACAGACAGACAGACAGACAGACAGACAGACAGACAGACAGACAGACAGACAGACAGACAGACAGACAGACAGACAGACAGACAGACAGACAGACGGCCAAACAGACAGACAGACAGACAGACAGACAGACAGACAGACAGACAGACAGACAGACAGACAGACAGACAGACAGACAGACAGACAGACAGACAGACAGACACTCACACGACTGGTAGTCGTATAGTGGTTCTGGCGAGTCGACCACCCACCACTTGAACCTTGGAGTACCAAACAGCGGCAGCGCTCCCTCTGGCCAGAACGGCCCGTCATTAGTTCTGTCAAATACGTCAATAGTATTACCTTAGCTGAGCCACTGGTTGTTATAGATTAATTATTTCAGATGATATTATCATGATATTGAACATGTACAGTGGAACCTCGTTTAACGAGCATTATGCGTTCCAGAATCAAACTCGTTAAGCGAAACACACGTTATGCGAAACAGTTTTTCTCATATAAATTAATGTAAAATACGATTATGCATTCCATGTCGAAAAAAATACTCACAAAATGTTGTGTATAAGGTTTTTTTTAAAGAAATGTATATACATATTTAAGGAGAGTGAATCATCTTCATATTTTCTTCAAACATGGAATGCGAATTCAATAAACGTGGAAATGATTATGATACATATTTTTTTTTTACTAGAAAGATGTCCAGAGACATATTTGTTTTTGCCGACACTTCAAAATGTGTCGAAATGCGACACAGTATTATCATTAAATTTAGCCACTTCCTTATTAGTGTGATGCTTCTCAATGTGAGAAGCAACAGTTTCCCATGCTATCATCATTTCTCTTATTTTGCCAGACGATTGTTGCTTTTCTGTTACTTTCTCCTACCTCTGACCTGACAAACTTTCCTCCAAAACGTCTGGCTGTGAAACACAATGCAACTCCATAAGCTCCTTGATGGTCAGCTCTTGGCTGCGCTCTTCCACAAGCTCTTCGATATCACTGTTAACCACCTACAATCCCATGATAGTGGCCAAAGACACAATCTTGTTGACTACAGGTTACACAGGTACGGTCTCGAACCGCTCAAAGTCACAAATCGACAGCACTCTCAGGCCAAAGCTTCTTCTAAGAAGAAGTTAGGGTTCTCTTGGTAACTTCTTCCCCCGCCTTGTCGATCATCTTGGGGTGATTTCTCCAAAACTTTGAGATTGAGGTTGGTCCCTTCAGTCACCTGAAAACAATGCTCAAAGAGTGTTTTAGTGTAGTGCTTCTTAAAGTTAAAAATAACTTGCTGGTCCATGCCTGGAGTAACGGAGTGATGTTGGGAGGCAGAAACTGGATCGTGATGAACGTAAATTCTTCAAAGAGGTCATCTTGTAGGCCTGGAGGATTTATGTACATACTGTATATCACAATATAACACAAGTTTGAGAAAATGTGTGATCACAAGCGACACTACGATGCTACTGGAACGAGTGCTAAACACAGATGTAACATGCGCACAATTCGGGACTTCCCCTCTCCTCGCCACACGTTGTGCAAAACGTCACTCGTTAAGCAAGTCATTTTGTTACAATTTGTTTTGCTCATTATGCGATTTACTCGTTATGAGAGGTGCTCGTTAAGCGAGGTTCTACTGCAATAATCGTCCCCATGTGGAATGCAATTTTTTGTTATTCAAAGCCCCATCCTGGCTTTTGTCGGGGGCCCTACATACAGCCGGGCCATAAATATGGTCTAAAGGCTGAACGGGGTTTCTGGGACCTCCCCACGAGTGATCCCCATCCGCATGGTGGCACTTTGTGTCACCAGGTGTTTATCGCTTGTGTGATGTCCTGGTGGGGTACAACTTACCTACTTATCATGGTAACGATGATGATGATGATCATGATGAAATTTGTGATGACTTTGATGACCACTATGACGAAACTACATGGGTAAGAAGAAAGAGGCAGGTATGGTGCTTTGGTAAAGGACTGACTATTTTGTTGTTCATGATGATAATGAGGTTGATGACGATGTTGTTGACGATGCCTATGCTGTTGATGATGATGGTAATTATGGTGATGAGGATGATGTAATTATGGTAGTGATGATGTTGATGGTGACGATGCTGATGATAATCAAGATGATATTGAGGTTGATGACCATGATTACAGTGATGATGATGATGATCAAGAAGATGATACGATATTTTTGATGATAATGTCTTTTATTGATGATCATCATCATGACAGTAATGATAATGTTTTCGAAGAGGATGTCAATGTTGATGATGTGCTGAAAGCGCTGATGATGGTCAGCATCACAATGTTAATGCTGATGGTGCTGGTGATGATGATGATGATCTTCATCACCATCACCAGCACGATCGTTAACATCAACATATATCTTCAGCATTATTATCACTAACATCATAATCACTACGATAACTATCATCAATGTTAATTTCCTCAACTAACTGGTTTTTTTTTTTTTTTGGGGGGGGGGGGGCAAGTATAGACTCCAATACCCTCCATAAAGCATGTCGTAAGAGTCTACTGATTGAGAGCTTTCTTAGAAGTCAGAATATATCTGTCTGAAGGCAAGGAACGAACAGTCCGCATACAGATAAGTCATATCTGTAAAACGGATGTGCACTCAATACTCAGTTTCTGGAACAGGAAGATAACAAACATTTCGCCAAAGTTGATAGCAGGTGAACGCGAGGAACAACATTATCATCATCATTTTCATAAAGAAGATGATGATTATGTTTATAATGATGATGATGTTCATGATGATGATGATGATGAATGCAGTAACGATGCTGGTGAAAATGTTGACAAGAAAATAAAAGCAACAGTTAAAAAAGAATCGTGAGACTGACAACAACGTTGAACTAATCCAACGCTTACCTGATAACTCCGAACTTGTCAACATAAGCATCACTATCATCAGACACCTCAACTCCATCAGGCAACCGTCCCAGTCTTAGACATCTCATGAAGTCTTTCTTCGTGTAGAAATTGTGCACTTTCGGTTTTATTTCTGTCAAAAGGAACATATTTGAACTCTCAGTCTACCGCGAACCACAGTGGTTTGATTTTTAAAGCATTTATGCCATAGAACAATTAAATTAGCATGTTTCATCTCATAAATATTAAAGATCAAATAAAGATAATCACAGGACAGTGCGATACCCAGTAGCCCCATTTAAGATCCAGATGTAAGTTAGGCTGGTTAATCAGTCAACGGATTAACCCTATTAAACATCAAGCCAATGAATCTAGAGATGTTCCGATCCCCTCCTCGGTAAATCCCGCAGCGTGTAGAGGCTGCCATTATCACTCACTGACTGACTGACTTTCTACCCCACCAGGACATTACACAAGCGATAAACACCCGATGAGACAAGTGCCACCATGCGGGTGAGGATCACCGTGGAGAGGTCCTAGAAACCACGTTCAGCCTTTAGGCCATATTTATGGCCAGGCTATATAGTGGCCTGGAAGTCGCCGTGGCCGAGCGGCTAGACGGTCGCCGCGGATAGTGAGACAAGTGCCACCATGCGGGTGAGGATCACCGTGGAGAGGTCCTAGAAACCACGTTCAGCCTTTAGGCCATATTTATGGCCAGGCTATATAGTGGCCTGGAAGTCGCCGTGGCCGAGCGGCTAGACGGTCGCCGCGGATAGGAAGGTCGTGGGTTCGCTCCCTGGCGGAGCCGGACTTTTTTCAAAAATGACCTTGGCTCCCAGGTCGACCCAGCCTTGAGTGGGTACCGGGTGCAGTCCCGGGAAAGTGAAGGCGGCTGGCGTGATACTGACCACATCACCCATCTTGTGCCGATTGGTCTATAAAAATATAGGTCTAGCCCTATATGCCCTATACGCCTTAAGGCGTGGAAAAGGGTCCTTTACTTTACTTTTATATTGTGGCCCCTGGCAAAAGCCAGAGTAGGGCTTTAAATAACGAAAGATTTCGTCCCATAAAGGACGGGAAGTACTCTACGAGCAGCGATCAAAACGACTTGTGCGGAGGCGAAAATGTGCCGAGTGCTGTGATGTCGATTTTTAATTCAACATTCAGTATTTAACATTCAACATTAAACTACACTCATACACTTGCTGGACTGACAAGCATTCATCAACATACTGGACTTTCTCCTCCTCCTCCTTCGTCGTCTTCTTTTTCTTCTTCTTCTTCTTCTTCTTCTTCTTCTTCTTCTTCTTCTTCTTCTTCTTCTTCTTCTTCTTCTTCTTCTTCTTCTTCTTCTTCTTCTTCTTCTTCTTCTTCTTCTTCTTCTTCTTCTTCTTCTTCTTCTTCTTCTTCTTCTTCTTCTTCTTCTTATTATTATTATTATTATTATTATTATTATTATTATTATTATTCATCTTCTTCTACTTCTTTTTTTTTCTTCTTCTTCTTTTTCTTCTTCTTCTTCTTCTTCTTCTTCTTCTTCTTCTTCTTCTTCTTCTTCTTCTTCTTCTTCTTCTTCTTCTTCTTCTTCTTCTTCTTCTTCTTCTTCTTGTTCTTCTTCTTCTTCTTCTTCTTCTTCTTCTTCTTCTTCTTCTTCTTCTTCTTCTTCTTCTTCTTCTTCTTCTTCTTCTTCTTCTTCTTCTTCTTCTTCTTCTTCTTCTTCTTCTTCTTCTTCTTTTTCTTTGTCTTCTTTCGCTTGGTTGAAATTGATTATTTATATCTGCAGTGGTGTCTCTTGCATGAAACTTGACCTTAACTCGCCCTTGAATGTCTCTAGGTTTCACCCATTTACTGATTTAAAACAAAAAATGGAGAAGGCTACTTCTCTTTGGTGTAAAACAAAAGTGGGGCGGCCATCTTTTACCTGTCATTATGGCGTCATAGTGTTCGTCTGCACCGTTACATCACATGCTTAACACTCTGCATATCCTTAACAACAATACTGACAGATTGGAAGACGGTGGCCGCCATGCTGTAACAGATAGGCGTTTACCTGCAGATCTAAAGGTTGTGGTTTGAAATCCATATCCAAATCACTCAACAAGCGCCAATTGGTCTATAAAAATATGTCTAATCCTATACGTCCAACAGGTCCAAAGGTGTGGAAAAGGGTCCTTTGCTTTACTTTCTATGTGCCCAATACGCCTAAAGAGATTTTTAAAAAGGATCAATTACTTCACTTTACAAGACAATAGCAGGATTATTGCAAACATTATCACATCTTTACTTTTCGTTTGATATCCCCTTTGTTTGTTTTCCACATTTTTGTAACCAGAATGAAACATGCTATTTAAATATATTTTGTTAGATACCAGAATTGCCCACATTATACATATTGTTTGACATGTCTGCTAACAGAACTATCCGCAGACACACAAAGACATGTGACATCTCAAGGAGCCGTTGATTGTGTTAAGTGCGGGCCATGCGCCTTGCGTTAGTTTCGAAAGTGGTATCAAGAAAGCCGACCGTCCAGTAGCAATGGTAAACTACTGGACGTAAATTTGTCTAGAAAAACCACACAACAGCCAAGGGCTGCTGGGTTGGTTCTGCAAATTCCTGTAAAGGATAGGCAACTAACCTCGATTAATTAAATTATTTAATTAACATAAAATATTCATAAAATTGAAATTAAATTAAATGAGATGCACGCTGGAAGCCGCCCAGTTAATAATCAGAGAACAAGTGAGAAATGATACCATCCGTCACATTGTGTGAGAACAACAGCATAGACCAAACTAATTGAGGAATAGAAGATCGCATAGGTTGACACGTTTCTGGAAAGCAAAGACAACTATCAACACAAGTCCTAAACGTAAAACAATCTGATATGACCTCAAGAGGTCGCCACAGGAGAGCATAGAATGATAAAATTAAAGTTCTTGTACAATATGATTCATCAACTCGGAATGATAACGCCATCGCAAACCATTAAGCATTGGCTCGCAAACAGTTCCTCCCCACTTCGCTCAAAGACAAAAGGGAGAAATTAGTGATGATGACTTACTTTGAAAACCAGAAATACTGTAAATATCTGAGACAGCACCTGGTCTAAACTCATCAGACCTCAGTTCTGGGTTGGAGTAGTAGAGTTGGTCGGGTAGTAAGTACCGCAGCTGTTGGTTAGGAGAAAAAAGTATTCAAGGTTTTAACGCCTTTGTGTGTGATGTGTCTTTAACAGAGTGGTGACTTGAAATGCTGTCAAGTGAAAATGTTCTTTTCTGGGAGTAATATGGTTTTCTGCCTACGCCGGGCGTGAACCCGGACCACAAGGAGTTCATCACCCGGTCGCCGAGAAGTCAGGTTTAACCAGCTATGCTAGCGAGCCGGCCATGACATTCTATAATAGAGATTAAACATACACCTTTTTTTTTGAAAGACGATAATTGTTTCAATGCTTATAAAATTGTAGCATTAGCATTGAATTGAGTTAAGATCATATTTTACGCCTTAGGTGCATCGAGCATATGGGAAGAGCCTCCCATATTTTTAAAGAGCAATCGCACTAGGTGGGTAATGTGGTCAGCATTACGCCGGCTGTCTTTACTTCCCCATGACAGCCATTCTGGTATCAATTTTAGGCTGGGTCGACCTGCGACGCAGCCAGCAATTGGTTTCAATCGCGTTACGTTGGAATTACGAGTCGGACTCGCACCTCTTAAACCACGCGCACCGCCTAATATTAACATAATATACAAAGAAAAAAAAACATTAATGGGAGAAGCGTTGAATTATAGTGACTATAATCAATTTCTAAAGAAGATGAGAAATATTGACATCTTAAAAGATCTGAACATCAAGGAAGATTGGCTTATAAACAGCATCCTTTCTCGAAAGCTTAAATAATTTGGTCATATCAAGCGCCACAATGGATTAGAAAAACTAATAGCAGAAGGCATGGTACCAGGAAGGAGGGGCAGGGGCCGACGGACACGAAGATGGGCACAGGATATAAGTAACTTCTTGAGTGTGAAAGTGCAAGAGGCGCTAGAACTGGCGAGAGACCGAGTTTCTTTCAGGCAGACTGATGAGAGCGACCTTCTGCAAAGGACCTGCTACATGATGAAAATGATAATCTATTTCTATGTCAAAGACGTCGTCTGTGGTGATACTGAAGGTGAGCCACTAAGAGTGCCAGTCGTATGCAGGTAAGTAAGTGCTTTGCTGTAAAAAAAAAGATCATCACGTTCAACCAGCAACCACGAAGAGGGATCTTTAGGTTATAATTGTGACTAGGTTATGTGGGACATATAAAATGGCTCCACATTGCTCGCCACTAAGAGCCCTGAAAAAAAGACCCCTGCAGTGTTGATGCGATCAAAGGAGACAGACCCAAATACTATCCCTACCGATGACGAAGTCGTCTACCGACCAGCCAAAGACGGTCGCCGATGGTGAGTACCTAGTCGGCGACCCATCACATTAGTATTACAGTCAGTTCTTATTTAGAAAAGGACGGACAGAAAGGCGACTGCAGGAGATCCCCTCCCTGGCACAATGCTCATTCCCTGTCCTCACTGACCAAGAACTTTTCGGGCCCGCATCGGCCTCATCAGTCATCTTGGTACTCATACTTGATGAAGAAGAGTGTCATCATCATCTTGATGTAGAACACACACACAGTGAGTTCCAGAAGTCCTGCCGAAATTTAAAATCTGAAACTCAGTAACCGTTCGGTGTAAGTTGTTGAAATTTGACATGCAGCCTGTTAATAATGATGTCCTTGTTGAGTTATTGAGTTGAGTTGAGTCAAAAATTGGCATCACAGCACTCGGGGAATTCCCATGCATGCTCTGCCCTCATGTTCAGCAGCCAGCACAGAGTTCCAGTACTGATCGTTACGGGCAGAATCTGGTTATATGCCGTCTTGCCTTTCCTCTAAGTGTAGTGAGCCGACCAGACCCTTTGGTTACACCCAGATCCCTCATTCTCCCCAGGCTATAATAATCTTCTTTCTCTACTGATTCCGTTGCTTGTTCCCAAAGGGCCTTGACCACATCTGCCTTGTCATGTATCAATTCACCACCCAGTGGTGCAGATCCAATCAATCTGTCTACCTGTTCATTACCCACCACGCATGCATCTGCCTTGCCATATATCAATTCCCCACTAAGTGATGCAGATCCAGTCAATCTTTCTGCCTGTTCATTACCCACCACGCTTGCATTGCCTGGAGAAAAGATGTCCTTGTAAGAATTTTACTTTAAGTGTAAACAAACATCCAGTTTCAATTTTGTCTTATTTGCGATGTTCAAAAAATTTAAATGACTTCAAAACAATCCCCACGGGTGTGTGAATTACTGCATTTTCTATCTTCCAGAGGTAAGAGACCCTTTTCAACGCCTTTAGGTGTACTGGGCATATAGGGATAGACTTATATTTTATAGGCCAAGTGGCACTCGGTGGTTGATGTGGTCAGCATCGCACCGGCCTTCTTTACTTCACAGGACTGTACCTGGTTCCCATTTAAGGCTGAATCGACCTGGAAGCCAAAGTTTTTTTCTTTAAGGAGAAAAAAGTGCGACTGCATCAGGGCCTGAACCCGCGACCTCCCGATCCCCAGGCGAGCGTATAGCAGCTACACAACAGCAGCTAACATTTTTTCAGATGTACAGCAATTATTAGTAAAAGATCAAAGAAATTCATCGCTTTAGGAAAACAACAGCATCTGTACAACTGTCAATTATAGACTCATAAGGGCACTGGAAATCGAAGGCCACGTGCACAAATTCGAATTGATCTATACAGAGTGACGAAACGACCTCGGTGTTTTCATAAGTAATAAAAAAAAAACTCGTAATAATTTCTTCTGGTTATAGAGAGACAGAGAATTATATTTGCTATGCCCTAAGCCCGAATATTACTTTAAACCACCACAAGGGATTTGAAAATTGTTTAAACTTGGTTTCCCGTCTCTCGCCAGACAAAGCAACCCAGCTTTGTTTAAAATTACCTAACATTATCCAGAGAATCGTTTTACAAGCCAGTGTCATATAATTATCTCCTGACCACAGTCTGTAGGGGCGAGCAAATGGGGAACTAATGATCACACCTGGGATTCTCTCCCATGAGCCGAACCTTAGTGTCATAAATATAACACAGACTAGGTGGGGCCTTTTGAACAGAGCAGATCAAGGGAATTAAGTGGTCTGGTAGGTAACTCGAGACATGACGGCGTTCGCTGGCTATATTGTCACACCTGCTATTTAAATTGGCTGGAGAACAGATGTTTACCAATTACGTATGCGTGATCTTGGAAAATCCGTTCACTTTGATTGACAGGCCCATTGATGACTATTTTGATCTGCAATGTACTTCTGGGGCGTGGCTAAGATCTTCTCTTGTGGGACAGTTAGGTACTAGGAAAGGGAGGAGTTAACTTTGCTAGTAGACTGCGAGCATTTCACAACTACCTCATGGTGCCGCCAGCTAGCCACAAACTCAGACCTACTGTAGATAGTATTTCTCACTGGTTGAGTCTTGTTTGGCAATTGCTGGAACGTTTCCAGGTATGAGTGTATATTATTTTTCCTCACTGGAAAGACAATATTCCAGACAACATGTACATAAAATATGGTTGGAGTTTTCAGCACATAACCTGCTCCACGTGTTCATGTAAAAACAATGTTTGGAAGTCTTAGTGAAGAAGGACAGCAGACTTAGGAAGTCAACAGGTGGAGAATAAGCTGAAACAGGCGGAGAACAGGCAGGGAAGAAGCTGGAAGAGGTGGAAGAGCTTGACCTCACGGCTGTCAGAGGTTCTATAAAAACAAAGTTATGTTCACACATTGTTTGTACTTTATCACCCTCATCACACCACTCTAATCCCAGGTGCTGTTTTCTAGCCGAAGCATCTCATCACTATCATAACATTAGCCAGTCACTGTTTGTGTAAACACAACAAACTGGGAATGTCATTTAACTTGTTAGAAAATAAAGCTGTATGACGAGATTTATACTACATCAGTTTGTTAAATTCCGAGTGTATTAAGTCTTAACTTACAGTTAGATAAAATTACATTTGGTGGAGGCTCATTAATAATTCTATACCAGGAGAGGAGAAAGTCGGAGGGGTTAACTGTATCTTGATATCACATTGGGTTCATCTTGATATCTATATCCCTTCTCCTACTCCTGTGGGTACTAAGTGCAGCTGTTGTGTATTTACATGACGAGCCAAATATGCTGTTTTCTTGGATATCCAGGACTTTGTCTGAGATCAACATAGATCGGATAATAGTCTAGTTTCTCTGGTGGAGGGGAAGTGTTGAGAGGTAAACTCCTACTCATCACAAAAGCATCTATTCAATTCGGCAGACCGCGACACAGGAGTTAACGGGGCATTTGTTCTAGTGTGACAGCATGTGTTGTGAAACGCACTAAAGTAGCAGTTGTAGTAGTAGTAGTACTAGTAATAGTAGCAGTAGTAGTAGTAGTAGTGACGGCGGTGGTAGTAGCAGTAATTGTAGTAGTAGTAGTGATGGTGGTGGTAGTAGCAGTAATTGTAGCAGCACTAGTAGTAGTAGAGTAGTAGTAGGAGTAGTACTAGTAATAGCAGTACTACTACTACTACTACTACTACTACTACTACTACTACTACTACTACTACTACTACTAGTAGTAGTAGTAGTAGTAGTAGTAGTAGTAGTAGTAGTAGTAGTAGTAGTAGTAGTAGTAGTAGTAGTAGTAGTAGTAGTAGAAGTAGTAGTAGTAGTAGTAGTAGTAGTAGTAGTAGTAGTAGCAGAAGAAGTAGTAGTAGTAGTAGTAGAAGCAGCTGTAGTAGTAGTCTCTGTTACTATGAATCGCTTGTATGGAGAGGTGATCCACCTGTTCCGACGTGGTCTGGATCCCCTCCGGTCCTCCTACGTCTGACTGGTTGCTTCTCTGTTGTGACCTCCACCTCTTGGCTCTGATGAAATCCCGATCTTTGTTACATAAGTCTCGCAGCAGACGCTCGTTGAGGTCCGGAACATCTGGCTGCCGACCTGCTAGGTCACTGGGTTTCTGTTGGGCAACAATTAGCACACCATTCAAATCACTCACACATGTGTGTCCTGGCAGCCAGGGGATTTGTATTGTTTTGATTATTTAATAAAATATCGACAATAACAAATTTTTCACTTCCATTTAAACACACAAGCCATAAAAACTGCATTTAGCATGCAGCAATCTTCCGTATAATTACACTTATGCACTAATATGCCGGGTATTTCTGTCGCCATCACAAATGTTGAACGAAAAACATAATTACATTAGACTGAACAAATACAGGTGTGAGACAAGGATGTGTGCTCTCCCCAGTTTTATTTAACATATATATAGACAGAATATCTAAAGAAGCAAGTTATGATACAAATAACATAGACCTTTATAATCACGAGGAAGTACACACATCAGGAGAAGTAATCAATTGTAATGAAACTATCAGGCAAATTGTGGGAATGACACCTTGTACTAGATTCACCGAGAAACAGCAAATCACGTGGTTTGGCCATCACGTTAGAATGCAGCAAGATCAAATAACATCGCAAACACTACATCTCAAAAGATCAACTACAAGAGCAAGAGGACGGCCATGGAAAAAATGGATCTACAACATTGAAGACACTCTACGCCTTCACGGCATGACAATAGCCAATGGCAGCCAACGTGCACTGGATTGCCAATTATTCCTCCCCACGGCGCTTAACGGCAGAAGTAGTTCATGATGATGATGATGATGATGACTGAACAAATGTTATAGACAAATTCCTCGCCTGGGTTCTGAGGCCCGATAGGTAGGACAAATCAGATTTAATGCCCCTTAAAAAAATTGACAAATTAGGGGTATATGAAGCCAGATGTGTTGGACCTAAAGGTAGCCTAGTTATGAATAACAGCACAACTTGGCAACCGTCCTTCAAAGGATAAACACAGGAGAAATTTAAAATATGGACACATGACAATAACGCATCCCACAAAACGTTTCTGAAAAGTGAAAAGCGACAACGAAATTTCTAATCTGTTTAAATCGCCACTGAATACTTGCCCTGTGAGAGCTAGGAAACTTTTGAACAACGGATAAACATCATGGCACCCAGGTGTAACCTATAAGTGCTCCGTTTTTTTTTTCTAACTAAAGTCTGAGACCGAAGAAGCTCAGCACAGTGCACAGGCTCTGTAAGACCGGTGAGGATCCTGAACTACTTTTGGTAGATTTTTAACTCCAAATTTTGCCCGGGCAGTGCCGATAGGCCACTCTTTTCGATTTCTTTTCGAACTGCCAATGGATTTTTCAAGTGCGTAACTATGCACACGGGCGTCCGATCTCACCACCCAGAGACCAGGGGGAATTTCTAGAAGTCCAAGTCGACGTGAAAAAATATCCCAGCCCTTATCAGGGAATAAACCAGGAACCTCTAGCACTCGAGGCAGACACCATGGCTCGAGACCACGCAGCCCCTAATAGACTGAAATGGTTTATGTATATAAAGAGACTGGCAGACGATAGTGACGCAAAAACTGTGTCACAAAGGAGATGAGCGGTTGCTGACAATAAGGCAGACCAAGAAGAGATAGTGGAGAGATAATATCCAGCCAAACCTCGAAACACTAGGGATCCTTCAACTGGAAAGAGAAGGCCATTTACAAAGATGAATGAAGGCGGGTGATATTTGCAGCAATGATGCAAGAATTCGGAATGCTGAAAAGGACACACAAATTCTACAAAACGTTCTTGATCATCGTGAAACATTTCTTGCCATTCTAACTATCATTATTACCAAGAAACATGTCAACCACGACAAAGAACATCACATACTCGGTTTCTCTCTAGTGGGGGAGTCTCCAGAGCCTCTCTGACCCTCCTGTTCAGCTCGGATTCCATCTGTTGCCTGACTGCCTCCCGCCATCTCGCCTCGTCTGAAAACGAAACAGTTAACACATGGACATATCAGAGCAGTACTAGACTCGGGTCATGCTTTGTTGTGACTGGTCAAGATCTGTCAGAAACAAAGAAACAGCTGCCTCAGAATAAATTATATCCCTATAGTCATTTACCCTAAAAATGTTTCTGTAACAATACTGCTGCTGCTGTTGCTGCTGCAGCTGCTTCTTGTTCTTCGTGTTCTTGTTCTTCATTTCCTTGTTCTTCTTCTTCTTCTTCTTCTTCTTTTTCTTCTTCTTCTTCTTCTTCCTCCTCCTTCTCTTTTTCTTTTCTTTTTCATCTTCTTTTTTGTCTCGGCATTCACACCCACTTTTCCCCATCACACCCACCCCACAACCACACACCACACACCCACACACACACACACACACACACAGATATATATATATATATATATATATATATATATATATATATATATATATATATATATATATATATATATATAGTTTTTCAGAGTGCAATATATCTGTCTGTGTGGGAAATAATTTGGTGGCCTTCTCCTGACTTTTGCAACAACAACAACAACAAACCCATATTAATGCTTTTGTAGGCAATGGTTCTTTGTGCAGCCTATTGCCAACTGTTATTTTCTATGCTCCCGATTATGGCTCGTGTGAACCCTGCACCGGAATTGTATCCATCAGAAACAGTGTTTAAGGACAAAGTGCTGAAGTACTTTATTCAAGGGTGAGGGCGTAGCAGGGCTTCTCCAATCTCGGAAACCAGTGGTGTATAAACTGATAGGGAACTTCACACTTACTTCTGATTCAATCATTAACCCCCATATGTGACGCATTTTTTTAAAACCCCACCCTTGCTATTGTCCGGGGCCATTATATATAACGGTTGAACTGAATTTCTGAAACTTGTGCGTGGGGAAATTCTCATCTGAATGGTTTCACCTTGTGTCAGCGGGTGGGGGGGGGTGGGGGGTGGGGGGGGGGGGGGGGACCGTTCGTTGTAGAGAGTCAGTCTCATATTTGCATCAGTCACCTTACGCCCAAAGGACTGCAGGTCACACTTGGAAGGTATAGCCGTTACTGGCGCCCTAATTATAATTCTTCCGAGGCTGAGCAAGGTGTCAGGGATCTACCTTGTTGGCATGCAGTCTAGACTGAAATTATGTCGATCTCTGGATGTATGGTAAACCTATAGATTCTCAGGAGGGTCTGGTAAACCTATAGATTCTAAGGAGGATATGGTAAATCTAACGAATCTCAGGATGGAATGGTAAGCCTATGTATCTTCAGAATGGTATGGTAAACCTATGGATTCTCAGCATGATATGGTAAATCTAGGGATTCTCAGAGTGGTATGGTAAACCTAACGAATCTCAGGATGGAATGGTAAGCCTATATATTCTCAGAACGGTATGGTAAACCTATGGATTCTTATGATGATATGGTAAACCTATAAATTCTCAGAACGGTATGGTAAACCTATAGTTTATCAAGATGATATGGTAAACCTTTAGATTCTCAGGATTATGTGGTAAACCTATAGTTTCTCGGGATGATATGGTAAACCTATAGATTCTCAGGATGATATGGTAAACCTTTAGATTCTCAGGATGATATGGTAAACCTTTAGATTCTCAGGATGATATAGTAAACCTTTAGATTCTCAGGATGATATGGTAAACCTTTAGATTCTCAGGATGATATGGTAAACCTTTAGATTCTCAGGATGATATGGTAAACCTAGGGATTCTCAGGATGATATGGTTAGGCAACAAACAGCTAGGAGGGGACAAACCGGTCGATCACATTTACCAAGAGAAATATCAGGATATTGCTTTGTGACTTGCTGACTGATGATGTTTGTCTCTATCTCTGCGATTCTCTGCGTTCAACAATTTCATGATTCTCGAGCACTAGGGATCCCCAAGTGGACGGCATTTAAAGCCACACACACCAAAAACACAACAAAAAACAAATATTTACTGCCTTAGTTAAATAGTATGAGAGTGGCACCGTGGAAGACACACTTTTTCCTGTTATATTTCTAAAAACAGCTATATGTGCACTGCAGCCAACCTTTGTTGTGGAGACGGCACAGAACTAAATTAAATTAAATATTAGGATGCAACTATACACTGAGCCCATCCCATAATAAAAGACGCCTTTAGGCGTATTGGAAATATAGGGGTAGACGTTTATTTGATAGACCAATCGGCACTTGGTGGGTGATGTGATCAGCATTACACCGTGAGCCCATCCCATATAGACTGTTACATCTAAAGTTGAAACGATAGTCTAGAGGATCGACGTCATTGCACCGGGTTTCATCCTAAATGGTTCGGTCTCTCTCCACAGAACCTCAAGCCGCCTGCCGAGAACACCAACACATAAATTCAGAAGCTCCGACGACCATCACCAGGGATCTCTGAAAAACAGCACTCAGGAAACGAACAAGGCATCAGAGGAAAAAAGGGGGGGGGGGGGGGGGGGGGGGGGGGGGGGGGAGCACACGACGTCGAGACAAAAGGATTGACCACTGGGCCACGGAGGAACACCCCAGCCTTTCTTTGGTTTGCCACCCCCTTCCTCATCCACAAGGACCTGCTGGGATGCAACCTAGGCTGGTCATGTTCCCGTTCATGGCTTTTGGGAATGTCATCGTCAGCAGAGTCCCAACCAAAGACCACAGGGAATACGACATAAGAAGAGAGCAACACTTCTTCTTCTTTTTTTTTTTCTTTTTCTTTTTCTTCTTGTTCTTGTTCTTGTTTTTGTTCTTGTTGTTGTTGTTGTTGTTCTTCTTCTTCTTCTTCTTCTTCTTCTTCTTCTTCTTCTTCTTCTTCTTCTTCTTCTTCTTCTTCTTCTTCTTCTTCTTCTTCTTCTTCTTCTTCTTCTTTTCCACCTTGTACCTCATAGAAGTGTCGGGGTGAGATGTAACATTCATTAATTAGCTCGGTCAAGAGCACTTTTAAGACTGATGTTCAATTCTGTAAGGCTGTCCTTAATGACAGCACTCTATATTTTCCGAGGTCTTCCACTCGCTCTATACCAGTTGTAACGTTTTAGTGTGGTTCGCTGTGGCAGATAATACCAGCGCATTCTTGTTAGGTGTCCAAACCACTTCTTTTGTTGTTCTTTGTTGACCTGTAAGACTGGCTTTATTCCTAGCAACACTAACCGAGTTTATCCATTGACGACAAGAGATGTATCCTTGCGCCCAAAACTTCAGCTACTCATTAATTAGTTCTGACGCCTGGCTGATGAAACACTATCTCAGTTCATGGATATATACTCAGTCTGTTTCGTGTGCGTCTGTAGCGTCAACGTTGGGCGTCGTTTTAATTATTGTATGAAAAACTTGATCTGTTGGAACCACGCTAGTAAGTATTGGATTTATCACATTACCTTAGAACACTTCATCCTAAATTGCTAAATTCAGTATAAATAATCACATCACGTTATTTACTGTACGAAACACTTGATTAACTATATAATTACATAGCAAACTTTAGAAATATTATTGGTTACTATTGAATGACGTTATTTATTGTACAATTCATGCTGCTAACTGCTGAGATTACTTTCATAACTAAACTTGTTACTAAACATAAATGTGTTGTTTTGAAATGATGTGTGAGGTTTGAACAGCCAATCAACATCGTAGAAATCCATAAGTGCTCCGTTCTACTTCTAAGTAAAGCTTGAGTCCGAAGTAGCTCAGCGCAGTGAACGGGCTCCGTAGCACCGGCAAGGATCCTAAAATATTGGGTAGATTTTTAACTCCAAATTTTGCCCGGGCAGCAACATTAGGCTACTCTTTTCGATTTAATTCTGCCAAGGGATTTTTTAATGTGCGTAACAATACACGCGGGCGTCCGATCTCATTACCAAGTGACTAGGAGAAATTATTAGAAGTCCTTGCATGTGAAAAAAATTCCAGCCTTCACCGGGGCACTCGAGGTGGACACCATACCTCGAGACCACGCAGCCCCCCCCCCCCCCCTGTTTTGAAATGAGTAGCTACAAAAGAATTCTTGAAAAACCATGGAACAAGAAGACGAAGAAAAAACACACCTGTCCTGACATGAAAGTTGAGCAATTATGGCCATGTTAAACGTCTTTAGGGCCTGGAAATAACAGTTCCGGGAACGAGGCAGAGGCAGACCTCCGCGAACGTGGGTACACAGCACTGAAGATGCATCGTATATGAGAGCATCTAGGGCTGGAACACTGGCTAGAAGAAAGAGACTTTCAGGCCTGTCGTGAACAAAGCGATCTTCTGTAAACGACTAGCTGACAGGTGATGTTTGTCTCATGTCTCTGCGATTTGCTGCTTGTAATTACGAGAAAGTTTTTTTTTGGCCGACATTGTGCTACCGGTGCCAAACATGGACCCTTACTACAACTAATGAGCGGAAGATCGTAACACATGTGACAAGAAGAGATCAAATCAGGAATGAAGAAATTAGAAGAAGACTAGAACTGAAATCAGTCATATAATTCATTAAAGAACAACAAGTGAGATGGTTTGGCCACCTGACGAAAATGCTCTGATACCAACTGCCACAGAGAGCCACGCTGAAGACCACGCGAGATATGGAACGACACTATCAGAAGCAACCTAAGCAACCCCCGTAGGAAAAAAGAAAAAAAAAAACACACACAAACCATAGCGAGAATGTGAACTCGGGTTCCCCGCCGGAGAGCCCAGTGTCTTAACCGCTGTGCCAGCTTCTTCTCGATGATATTATTAACATCACATTATCATTTACCGAAAAAAAACCTTGCCCCTTCACATGTTGTTTTCAAAACTGTTATAATTACGTTATTTACTGTGCGGTTCCAGCTATTAACTTGTATGAATCCTTTCTACGTGTTAAAATAACAATAAGAATGGCCCTATTACTTGCTTTAAATATATTATATCAACTATAAAAATCACTTGATAAACTACTGCTACTGGTTTGTAAATTTCACTGCAGACTAAAAGAATCACTTGATGAACTTCAGAA